TCCATTTATGTGCTGATGAGCATTTAGCTTGCTTCTACATTTTGGTCATTGTGAATAATACCATCATGAGTATAGTGTACAAATATCTACTTGAGAATCAAATTGCTTTGTAATGTGCTTGAAGTGTCTTTAACTTTGGCTTTATAGAATGAACTAAGAAGTTTGCCTTTCTCTTCAGTATTTTGGAAGAATTTGAGAAAGATTAGTTTAAGTTCTTTAAATGTTTGGCAGAATCCACCCTCAGTGCTGTCTTATCAGGAGATTTTTGAATGCAAATTCAATCTTCTATTTATATAGTTCCATTTAGACTTTCCTATTTCTTTATGATTCAATGTTAGTAGATTCTATATTTCTAGGATTTTTTCATTTCATTTAGTTATTCACACTACTCATTCACACTAGTTTTTTATTATATTTGGTTAGTTTCCTTTTGTTCCTACTTTGTCATCTGTTTTTATCATGAAAGAGTGTTGGATTTTATCAGATGATTTTCTGCATCAATTTAGATGCTCATGTGGTTTTCCCCCTTCATTCTGTTAATGAATGTGATATAATACAGCGATTGATTTTTACATGTCGACTCATCCTTGCATTCCAGAAATAAATACTACTTTGTCATGGTGCATAAGCTTGTCAGTATGCTGTTGAGTCCTGTTTATTCATGATTTTGGTTTTTGCTTAAATCCTCTGTTTCCTTATCTTACATCTTGTTGTTCTATCCATTAACAGAGAGTAGGATATTGAAATCCTCCAATTATATTGAACTAATTCTCTCTTTGTTTCTGTCACTTTTACTTCATATATTTTGATAGGCTATCATTAGCTGTGTGGGTGTTTATAACTCTTACGTCTTCTTCCAATACTGAACACTTTATTAATATGTAATGTCCTTGTCTCTTGTAATCTCCTTTGATTTAAAGTCAATTTTGTCTTATATTAGCCTAGCTACTCTTGTTCTGTTTGTGTTACTATTTTCATTGAATATCTTTTTCTGCTCTTTTGTTTTCTGTCTGCTTGTGCTGTTGAGTCTGTTTGTGGCTTTCCGCACTACATGTACGGGGATCATGATTTTTAAAAATAGGTTTTGCCAATATCTGTATTAGAGAGTTTAATCCACTTACAATTAAAGTAAGTACTAATTAGGAGATATTCTGTCATGTTATTGCATTCTGTATGCTGTATAGCCTTTTAATTCCTTTTACCCTGCATTATTTCTTGTATAGGCATTTTTAATTTTGTTTTATTTTAAAGAGAATAAAGCCAAGGAAAATAAAACAGACTAAAACCAATCAAAATAAAGTAGCATAAGTGATACAGGACTTCAAAACCTTATGAAATCAACAGTAGTTACCATAATGCCTTTTGTTGTCGTCCACATACCTGCAGATACCTTCGGACATGGTAAAAATCGAACAGAACAGAATAGAGCAGAAACAATAAAAATAAAACAATGAATGCAGTAAAAGACCTGGAAACAAGTCCAACAGGAAAAAATGGCTACCATATTATGTCAGCTATCTTTTAAATAGCTTCTCATGCCATTTAACATAATCAAATAAAACAAAAGAGACTAAAACCCAACCCAAGAAAACAATGAAAATGTGGTTTCCAGACAGGGACCACCTCCTTGTGAGGCCTGTTTCCCCGCCTCTGCAGTGAATGGCGCTGACTCACAGAGAGAGGCTGGGTCTAGCTGTCCCCACCATGCATTAGTTCTTGTGTATTTAGTTGAAAAAAAAAATTTTTTTTTTTTTTGTAATGAGACATTTTAATACCCTTCTACTTTCTTTTGTGTGCATTCTGTTGCTATGTTCTTTGAGACTTAAACATGAGGATTAAATAGTCTGAAGTTATAACACTCTAATTTGAATTTATATGAACTTATCTTCAATAATATGCAAAACCTTTGCTCCATTGATAGCTATGCCTCCATTACTTTGGTTGTTAGCATCCTAAAATTGCATTCTTATATATTATGTCCCTTGAACTGGTGATTCTATAAATGCCTTAGCCTATTAATTTGTATAGAAGACAAAATGTGGCTTTACAAAATAAAGTTAAAATAGGTTTAAGACTATTACACTACCTTTTAATAATGTTTTACTCAATCCAGGTACTAGATAAAATGAGTAGTGACAGAGTGTAACTTTTGACTTTGACAATTGATATTTACCTTTATTATAATTTTTATTTTTTTATATAGCTTCTTGTTAATGTCTACTGTCCTTTGATTTCCACCTTTCAAAGTGTATTTCTTGCAGGGCAGGCCAAGTGGTAATGAACTGACTTCACTTTTCTTTCTTTGGAAATGTCTTAAGTTCCCCCTTAGTTTTGAAGGGCAGTTTTGTAAGACACAAGATTTTTGGTTGACAACTTTTTTGCTAATATTGTTTGTTTCTTTTACCTCGTTGAAGTAGCCCACTATCTTCTGACCTCTAAATTTTCTGATGAGAAATTTGTGAATAATTTGAGAATTACTGTCTGTATGTGATGAGTTGCTTCTCTCTTTCTGCTTTCAATATTTTATCTTTCAGCAATTGTATGATAGTGTATATTGGTATGATTTGCTTTGATTTCTTCTTACTTGGAATTTATTGAGTTTCTCAGCTGTTTGTATTAGAAAAATACAGAAGTTAATTTGGGGAGTTTTCAGCCATTGCTTCTTTAAATATTGTCTTTGATCTTTTCTTTCTCTTCTTTTCTATATTGCGTTAGGTTGCTTTTATCCCAGGAATCCTGTTAGCTCTCTTAATCTTTCATTCTTTTTTCTTTCTGTTTCTCAGACTTGATAATGTCCATTGTCTTATTTTCAGGTTCACTGATTGTTTTTTTTTTTTGTTTTTTTTTTTTTTTTTTTTTTTGCCTGTTCACATCTGTTTTTGAATTTCTTTAGTGATTTCTTCATTCCAGTGACTGAGCTTTTCAGCTTCAAAATTTCCTTTTTTTTTTTTTTTTAGGTTTTCTACTTCTCTGTTGAGGCTAGCATTTTGTTCAAACACTGTTTCTTTACTTTTCCACTCTCTTTGTTGTTTTCTGAACAGGTATAGGATAGTTCTTTTATAGTCTTTGTTGACTGCATCTGCCATCAAGTGTTTTTAAGGAACAGTTTATTGATACTTTTTTTCTTCGGGTCATATTTTCTTCTTTCTTTGTATGCCTTGAATTTCTTGTTGAAAACTGAGTATTTAATAATTTATGACTCTGAAAGTTAGAATTTCTTTCCTTTCCAGGGTTTTTTGTCATTATTATTGTTGTAAGTTGTCTCCAACCCAAGGATCTGCTGAGTCTAAATTTAATGTCTTTTCAGGTTTTTTTTGTGTCTGTACCTTTTCTTGCACATAGTCACTTTCTAATTTTTCCTGTATATGCATGTACATGGAACATAAAATATCTTGCTCCCAAACGATGAGAAAGAGGAAAACAAAATGGTGGAAGGAAGTTGCTATCTCACAGTACCCTTTGGAAGTTACTTCAACAAGAGGAAAAGGAACTTGAACAGTTGGAGGAAGGCATCAGCAATGGCAGTTTGCTCTTTATCTGCAACTCTGTGATTGCATTAAGAATCAATGAATCATCAGAGCACAGACTCTAATATTGGGAAGACAGAATTTTTATTTGCCTATCCTGTTTCTCGCCAGCAGTGTGCAAGCTGGTCTTGGAATGTATACATAGCTGCCTACAAAAGGCCTGAAGTGGGGGTATCTGGGGTAACTGGGCTAACAGCTAAAATTAACTGCAGTTACCCATGTAAGCCTTCTCATGCAGGTTATAAGCCTTCAGTAGCCTCTAGAACTCTAAAATGCAATCATGTAACTTAATGATGGGGTACATTCTGAGAAAAAGTATTAGGTGATTTTATCCTTGGGCAAAATTAGAGTATGTTTACACAACTAAGATAACTGTGATGTCACCAGGCAGTATAATTTTATCAAACCAAAGTGATATGTGGACTGTTGATGAGTATAACATTATTTTGTATCATATGACAGCAGTTTCATCATACAGATTTTATCAGTGTAATTGTTGTCTCATTGGCCTTAAATGTACTGAAGAATTCACTGAGAATGCCACATTATGAAACCCTTCCATTTGTTCTGGCAAAATTTGTTCTCTTTCATTTGTAAAGGATAAGAGATGATGAGGAAAACTTTTAGCTATTAGCCTCATCCAGCCATCGGTGAAATGACATATTTTTAGGTCAAGGGTTTGAAACCTATTATTCTTTTGGCAGTTGTGAAAGCCTTGAATTCACATGAAAAGTTTTGCCTGTATGTACATTTATATGAATATAATTTGGATAAATGTGTGCTGAATATACATATACATGCATGCATAACACATACATATATATGTACGTGTGTGGGGCCTGTGGCTTTAGTAGAAGTCTCAGATCACCAGCCAGTCCCTCTCTCCAGTTTGTCCACATGGTTTATGAGCCAGTGTTTTAGGCAATTTTTTTCTTTCTAAAACTACGTGTTTCAATGATGTCTGTAGTCTAAATATCTAGAAAGGCTTTTGACTTTTAACTTTATTTCTCAGAAAATTTCCATTGAGTCTTAACGAGGTCTGTCTCTAATGGATAATGAGTACCAGACATATGTTTAAAGAAAAACTGGAGGTTGTTCTTTTGTATTTATGAAAAATTTCTCCGTTACTTGTTTTCTTCAAAGCATTATCTTACTTGAATGTATTGTTTTGCCTTTCTCTTCATTTATTTTTTGATTTCTGTTAATTTTATAATAAGTATCACTCCCTGTTACATATATTTATTATGGTTTTACTTTAGCTGCTGTGATTTCTAACTAATGAATAGGAACTTGAGACTGAGGTCTGACTCTTTAGAATTCTCTTGCAGCACCAGGTATGGCTTTTTATGAATAGTGAATAATTAATAAAAATCAGTGGACTTTAAGTGTATAATCAAAGTAGTGATACCATTTATTACACTGTTCTATTTCTGAATTTTTTAGCAGAGCTGTATATTATTATTTATTTTGCAGTGAGAGACATAAACCTTCAGGACATCAAAGAGGATTTGGAATTGGACCCAGAGGAGAATAGCACCCTTTTCATGGGCATCCTTATCAAGGGGCTGGCCAAACTGAAGAAGATCCCGGAGACAGTTAAGGCCATCAAAGAGCGGTTGGAGCAGGAACTAAAGCAGATTGTGAAGAGATCCACCACACAGGTGGCAGACAGTGGCTATCAGCGGGTAGAGAACCTCACTGTGGAGAACCAACCCAGGTAAATGGGGGTGGAGTTTGTGGTTTTGGTAACTATTTTCTAGGGTGAAGCTTAATTAGTTTATCTTCTCTTGATGTTATTTCCTTTTTTTTTGATTTATAACATTTATTCTTTTTTTAACAGATAATTGTAAGTACAATAAGTGGCCATTTAAAATATTTTAAAGTATAAATATGAAAAACTATCAAGGAAGAAAAGAAATCTATAATTCAGTCTTTCAGAGAAAACCAGGATTGACATTTGTTTTTTCCTGATGTAGAATGTATGCTTAATTTTAGTTTTTTTTTTTTTTTAAATTTTATTTTGAATGTAGTAAAAATACAACAGAGCAAGAAAGAACAAAGCCAGTCGAGACAATGTAGTGACACTGGTACAGAACTTCAAAGCAGGATACTGGGATAATAGTAATATACTATAGTATATCTCATTATCTTCACAGTAGTTGTCCAGTCAATTAGGTGTAGTGAAATCAAACCAGTAACAGAACATTGTAAAACCAATTGAAGGAGAATATTGAATAGAGCAAAACAATCATTACAAAACATAACAGTGAAAATAACCTTTGCATTCAAACAGAACATAAAAGGAAATCCCCCATCTTTGCTATGTTGCATATGGTCATCCTCCCAAGAGATGCTCAGAACTCTTTCCCCACTTGCTGACAGGGTTGGGGTGGGTTGGGGTGGGGAGAGGAGATGTTTGATGCGCCTGTAGGCTCACAGGGACAGCTGACTGGTTCTCTTCCTGGTGGTGCCAGGGGTGCTTACCAAGAGGGCGTGCAAATCGCTTTGTTGTGCAGCTGCTTAAGTCCCAACATGGCCCAATAGCCGCTGATTCTCCTCTTGGCCGGCCTTGATGTTATTTTCTTGAACTTATGTATTATAGCTCATATGAACTAAGATAAGTAAAAGCAGGTGGACTAAACATAATTCAGTTGTCTGTTTTTGACTATGCTAAGAAATTTTAAAGCAAATTGTCCATAGTCATATATATTGAATGAAAGACACAGACATGTGTATAAAAATGTGTTAAAGTGTGTTAAGTGAACAAGTAAATTGAATAAAACAGCTATTGAACATGTATTAGATAGTAAGTAGTTTTCCAGGCTTCAGGTGTATACGATCTCATTTAATTCTCACTACAACTCTGTGAGCTATTTGTTAGTATTCGTATTTTATATTGGGTGAACCAAGGCTCAGAGATGAGCAATTAGTCAAGTTTTGTAGAAAAGGAGGTTGATCCTAGAGTTGCATTAAGTCCATGGGATTCTAAAGTCTTTCTTTCCTCTGTCTCATATTTTTTTTTCTTTGTATGTGATGATGTTGTTTGTAGACAAATTAGTCTTAGGAATTTCGATAATTATCTAAAACAATAAATAAAACTTGGATGTCATAACTTTTGTTTCATGAGGGCAGTGTTGAATTTATATTCATATGTAAACTGTGATTATCATATACTAGAAAATCATGTTTACCAAACCATAATAGACATAATAGACCAGTGTCATCTGACAGTGGATGAAATTGTCTCTTTAAAGGGGCCTCTGTCCCTATGGCCCTGCCTCAATCCCTGCTTCTCTGCTTTTGCATCCCAACTCCGACATACGTCAGACATGTATGAAGGTGGAATTTAGCACGAAGGAAAAAGGTCACAGAGGTCACATTTTCATAAAAAGAGGAGGTAAAATGGAGCCTGTTTTCTCATTTGTTTAAAGCATACGAGCTCCTGGAAGATCATAAGTAAAATGGGGTGAGAATCTTGTTAAAATGATGTGAAGGCAATTTTGCTATTGGTATTTAGAACTTTTAAATTTTTACAAAAAGAAGTTAAATTTAAGTAGAAAGAATATTAGTTCATTTAATACAGACTTTCCCAGATTTTTAATATTATGGAAGAAATACATTTTCTTTATTCTTGTGTATCTTTAAATAACATTAATATTGTGTTGTAAAAATCTTCAAAAAATAATTCTCTATGAACTTCATTCAAAAGTACTGTGGTTAGTGAAATCAACTATTGTTTAGTCTGCTTTTATAAGAGAGTGCTTCAAAGCAAATGATTGAGTAGCATGAGTTTTGGAGTGTAGAAATGATTTTGTATTACAGCTTTGCGATCTGTGGAAAATAGTACCTATCTTACAGGACTTGCTTTAGATGAGGATGTATGTTCCAGTTGTTTAGTAGAGTAGCACCAGCAAGCACAGTGCATGCACAATATGTATGTGAATACATGTGTGTATTTATTATGGTTCCTTCTTCAGTTGTTATTTATTTTTTGATCACTCACGTCATGATCTGGAGAAGCCAGTGAACGAATGTAAATTGAACTTTTCTTCTTTCTTTGCCTGGTGCCTAGATTTCTGTGAAGACCTTTTGACTTTTTACTAATGAAATCTTGGTTTGCTATTTGCCCTGTTGCTGAAAGTCCTTAGATGAATGTACAGAATGTTCGTAGGAAAATAACATTACTATAATATATCCTGGAAATAAAGCAAAAAGATGAAGATAATAACTCTTCTGCAGATCTCATTATGGTACCTTTAAAAAACTTGTCTTTCATAGGATTTTGACCTCTTACTCTTCTGTTGCCTAAGTCCATTCCAGAATTTGTGAGTGAAAGTTACAGCACTGGAAGTAGAAATTTAGCTCACTGGCCCAGGAAATACTAAATGTTTCTCAGTGAGGAATGACTCAGCCGAAGTTTTTTCTTTTCCTTTACTTTGACTTTCATTTTTTGGATCTGTATTGTAAAAAGCTAGCAGGCAGGATATATTGAGGACTAATAAATAAACAAATGGCTTCAGTCTCTTTATCTATAACATGCCATTTTATAAAACTTGAAGATCTGTAACTTTTTGTCTAAAAAACCTTTTTATGACATTGACTTTTGTAGAGAAAGTGAACATTTAAGATGAACTCCTTCTTCAGAACATCAAAAATTAACTTCTTACACTGGGATTCCAAATGACATAATTTTGAGAAGTTTCTGGATGTTGTGTTGCATTAAATGATTTAAAACTCCTTAATAATTAATTCCTTTGGATTAATTGTAGTCATTCAAAAATGATTAGCATTGTTACCTCTAATGGAATAGAATTTTATAAAAGATATTGCCAAATATCCCTTGAAGCCTGCATGGTTTGTGTGCATCAAATTTTTAGGAAGATATTAGTGACATTTATTTCAGAGACAGGTAAAAATTACAACACTTGGCATAATTGTTATTATTGCTGTTCAAGAGCTTTATGGTTAAAGGCATAAAAATTTGTTTTCCTTAAGGAAAAGAAAATTGGCTTGCATATTCTTTCCTATCGTGGAAAAAAAAATAGTCTATTTCAAAACATTAGTATGTAAATGCTCCCCTGAGGCAAGATACCACTGTAACTTTCCCTAAAAGTTTCATTGTTCATCATCATCATGTTAAATGTATTCTGCTAATGATGTATTGCTAGCCTGTTTTCATTTGTCTGTATGCAAAGAGAATTAATGTTGTGTGCCATTTTACTCGAAATGTATAAGAAACCAATTTAGTGAATTCTGCTTGCTTTAATTCCTACAGTGCCAGAGTATTTCCTCAGTTTTTAAAAGTCACTTTGACGACCCACTTATTTTATTTTTGTCTTCCAAAATATGGTCTGTTTATCAGAGAAATAGTTTTATATTTTCATTCATAATCTTCTGGTGTCTGTATGCCTCCACATACTATTAAAAGAAAATATTTAAATAATATTGCCTGCTTTATAAACACAAGGGTAATAGGTGTCTTGGTAATCTACGAGAACCACCTGATGCTCGTCGTGATTTTTCCAGAAGAGCATGTAGTGTCTTCAGCTTCAGATGGTAAGTGTGGCCTGCAGTTCAGGACCAATTTCTTCAACTCCTGCTGCTTAATTGTTGATTCTTTCACAAAATCTAGCTCATAAGTAATTTTGTATCATTTTGTGTCAAAGAAACTAGAAAAAGTTGAATAATATTTAACAAATGAAAGCATCAGGAAGAAATGGAAGGAAAATATTCTCCTCAAAAGTATGAAATCCTGTGAAGAATAAGAGAGAGGGGCGAATGCAGGGAGAGAGTGATCGGCATGTATAAGGCAACTTTCCACATGTTAAAACATTGGCTTGTTCATATGTGTAAACAAATGTCCATTGCAGGAGACGCCAAAGGCCATTTATGCTTTGGTGAAACTGAGTTCTGAAGAGGGCAGAAAGAAGTAAGTTGGCTGCAGGGAAATCCTTTCTTTAGTTTGGAAGGAGACCATTTTGCAGTGTTCATTGACCTCTATTATGAGGAAGAAAGATTAAATATAAGCCATGAAAAGCAGGGAAAATTGCATGCCTTGTGCTGACTGTGATATGGTAGAAAGCCATAGAATATCCTTTAAAGTGTCAGTAGTTGTGTTTGGGTTATAAGATGATACGTGGTGTATGACCCCTCCTCTATTTTACAACTTGACATCAAGTTATACTTTAAAAAATGATTATTTACATATTAATTTAAGTATTTACTCGTTATTTTACTCAGAAGTAATCATTAAAAGCGAAAATGCCTATGGGGATATGAATGACCATGCTAAATTTTAGTGTGGAAAAATGTAATGCTTATTTTTAAACCAACTAGATATTATTCCTTAAAAAATAAACCAACTAGATATTATTCCTTAAATTTTTAAATGATAACATATACCTATCTGTGTGTGTTTGGTTAATTTTTTGACTCCCTCTAGAATGGAAAAGAAGAGAAACAATTTGCCTTTTTAGTATCATACCTCCAGAAAGTAGTACAATGTCTACCTGACCCATTATAAATATTTGTTGAATGAAAAAATGCGTTTCATGTATTGTATCTGCCATAGAGAAAGATGTTAAACAAAACAGACATCGTCCCAATCCTCCTGAAATAGTTCCAAGAGGGAAGAAAGAAAGACCTCAGTCTAAGATCCCTATCTAGTCTGCCCTTGTGGGTGTTGTCAAGCTGCATTCATTTGCTGACACCTATCAT